AATATTTATATATATACTATATATATATATATATATATATATATATATATATATATATATATATATATGTGCGTGTGTGTGTGTGTGTGTGTGTGTGTGTGTGTGTGTGTGTGTGTGTGTATGTGTGTGTGTGTGTGAGTGTGTGTGTGTGTGTGTGTGTGTGTGTGTGTGTGTGTGTGTGTGTGTGTGTGTGTGTATTTGTGTGTATGTATATATATACATATATATATATATATATATATAAATGTGTGTATCTATCTTTCTATCTTTCTATCTATCTATATATATATATGTGTGTGTGTGTGTGCGCGCGCGTGCGTGTGTGTGTGCAACATCATGCCCATTTTGTTTCATTGTCCATTTCAACACCTGAAACAGACAGCATTCATTCCATTTGTATCATTCATATTGTAATGCCACGAGGATATAATGTGCATCTGTGTGTGTGTGACACTTCTAGTACTTAAGTGCAATGTCAGTTCTTTTCGGTTACTTTACATAATTCAGTGTCTTCAAATGGTTTATACAGTCAAGTCATATTTATTATTTTTCATTTCAATTTCAGCTCATAGATATCTAGACAGAACACTTTTAGTCTACTCATATAAACAAATACATAATTGTTTTCAAGACCATAAATTCCTCTTTTCTGCTGGATAAAACACCATTCCAAAAGAAATAATATTTGTGTGAATTATTTATACTGCTGTGAAAAAAAATGTGGTCTGTTCTCCCATTGTTATATGATTGCATTCTGAAGCTTTTCAGTTCTTGCTGCAAAGGCCATTGTGTATATTTTTAACGTCTGTCAAGGCAAAAAAAATATGATAAACTGGATGAAAAGTTAAGCATAATGCTATGGAGGGTAGCTAATGTTGTAGTCATTTATTGTGATGGAATGATATATTGTTATGAAACATGACCTGTGATATAAAAGGATAAGAGAGTATTAGCATTTATGTGTATAGTTCTAAATATTTCTTGCATTGTAAGATTGTTGTTATTCTTGTTATTACATTATTAATCTGATGTGCAATTCCAAATAAAATTTATTTAGTTCATATGCCAGAAAATCTTACTTCTCCACAACATACGTGAGCGTTGGTTAAGACCTTTTTTATTAGGTGTAAAATCCAAAAAATAAATGATTGGATATTAATATTCCTGCAAAGGAAAGGTCCTGAAAACGGTTTAAAATAAAAATACATTGTTTGATGGCAATTAGCATTAGACAGGCAGCTATTAGAGATGATTCACAATGGATTAACACAGGCATAGGAAGACTTTCAGATGCTGTAGTTGATTTATATAACAGTTTCTTTTCTTTCTTTCTTTGTTGGATTTCTTGGCTATCAACCAGCGGTATGTAGCCAAGGTTATTAAGCCAATGGATCCTATTTATTCTATCAATCTATATAAGGTCATAAAGTTTTGTCTCCCTTAGAAAAGCGATTACTTTATGTATTATTTTTTCATCATCTGCTAAAAGGTTTGATATTGTGAAAGGTTTTTGATTCTGAAATAATTTTTTATGGTCTGTCTATAATTATTGTATCTATGGCAGGTTATTATGAGATGGGCTATTGTGAGGATATTTGTGCAATGGGGGCACTGTGGAGAGAATCTGTTTTCTATATATGGAGTGAGGTGGGTTATCCTTGTGGCGTTAAGTCTCAGGCGCGCCAAACCACCTCCTCCCTTCTGTTTTTTCCATGGGATGTCCCCCACTTTTCTATTTCTGGTTTTATTTTCCTGGTGAGTTGAGGCTGGTCCACTCACTTTGCCACAGGAGATGTATTTTTGCTTTTATAAGAGACACAAAACACCTGAGATCTGTACGAACTATGTCAGTGTCCAGATCGCCAGTTGACCCGGCTAGTTTGTCGGCCTGTTCATTGCCATGGATACCAGAGTGGCCTGGCACCCATATTAGCTTGATTGATTTGTTGGCACCATGTAACTTACGAATGATATTACCCAGCAATTCATTTTTAGTGGTTTCTAAGGATTTAATAGCTTTAAGTGAACTTAGTGAGTCAGAAAAAATAACTATTCTATCGTATTCTATAGTGCAAAATCAATGGCTTTATCAATAGCAAAAATGATTCGGCAGTCTGAACTTTAGTTCACATTCAGTCGACCATACACCCGCACCCACATAATCTTCTGTTTTGGAGCCGTCGGTATATATATGAAAAAAGTTTAGATGTTTAATAAGGATCTCTCTGAACCTCTGGCATACCTCCACCTCCGGCGTCATGGCCTTGGTTGATGGAAGCCAGGCTTCCATGATAGAAAAATTGGGGGTTTCCCATGGCGCTATATTTGACTGAACCAGGATATCGATGGTAGAGAGATCTATACCGACTTTCTCGACGAGGTCGTGGAATCTCGTGGCAAAGGGCCAAGTGCCTCTATTGCCATTAGAGTGGTTCGGGTCTCGAGCCACCTTCGCAGCATAGCTCAGGGCTAACTGGCCGTGTCTGAGTCGGAGGGGAGGTACTCCTGACTCCACCTCAAGACGCTCGATTCGAGTACATTTCAGGGCTCCAACAGACACACGCAAACAAGCATTCTGCACAGCATCCAAACCTTTCAAACTTGTTCTCGATGCCGAACCATACACGATTGACCCATAATCTACTTTAGATCTAATCAGGGCTTTATATATCATTAGCAAAGACTGTCTATCAGCTCCCCATTTATTACCAGAAATGCACTTTTTGATGTTTTTAATTTTGAATGATATTTTTTTCTTGTTGATTTTATTGATAATTTTGTATTGCTATTGATTGTAGAGACAAAGCTCCGCCAGGAGTCTCTTTTTCCTTGTCTTATTACTCTACGAGCCCTAGCTCTTCCTTGTTTGTAATTGCAAAAGTTCTCGTTTGTGATGTTATTTTTGAAAAGCATGTAGGCCTTATTGCGTCGGCACAGCGCCCTGCGGCAATCTGGTGTCCACCATGGAACTCTATGCTTAACGCTATCTGTCGAAGTTTTAGGAATGGATAGCAAAGCTGCTTCTATAATCGAATTCTGAATATTGTTTACTTTATCATCAATGGTTTCTCCAACTAGTTCGAGCTTGACGCTCCTTGTGAAGGCGACCCAGTCTGCTCTTTTTACGTTAAATCTAGGCGCTGAAGGCGTTCTCACTGTCGCATGAATATTCAATAAAAATAGGAAGGTGATCGCTTCCCAACGAGTCGTCAATGGTGTGCCACAGGCACTTAGCTGCTACTGATGAAGAGACCAGTGATAGGTCAATAAAGCTCAAATTACCGTTATTATCGTCCATCCGCGTGGGACTACCATCGTTCAGGACTAAATCAGACTCATTAATTAACTTAACTACTTGCTCACCTCTACCATCCACCCACAGGGAACCCCACAACGTATGATGAGCATTGAAATCACCTAAAATTACTTTATTTTGTGGCAGACGTTCCTGAAGAGCAAAAAGCTCATCATAGATTATCTCTGTATCAGGTGGACAATAAACTGAACATATAGCCAGATACGTGCCATTAATTTTTACTTTGCATGCGACAAACCCCAAAGTAGAATCAAAAGTCACTTCTGTAAAAGGGGGGTTTTGGTGGATGTACGTGGCGACTCCGCCTCCACCCCTACCCTCACGATCCTTCCAACACAGATGGTAGTTCCTTAGCGAAACAACCTCGTCAGAGACGAATTCTGTTAAATGTGTTTCTTGGAGAACTATAATATCGGGAGCATAGGACGAGGCTAATAATTTAAGGTCATTTACTTTAGACCTAATACTTCGACAGTTCCATTGTATAATGGTCGACACGAAGATTACGTTTTATGGGGTTTGGAAGTGCCTTGTCCACCAATTCTAATTTTCTTTTTATGGGAGGGAGGCGCCTCCTCTCCCTCGCTTCCCGGGGACCTCTCACGGGATGGTTTGGAGAAAGAAGTCTCCATGTCCTGCACCTCCTGGCGAGGGAGACGACTGGCCGATTGCGATCTGCTTCTCTCTCGAGAAGCCGATCGCGAGCCAGACGAAGTCCTCACAGGAGCGCACCTTCCCGGACGGGAAGGTGCGCTCCAGACTGTGATTCGGTATCATCCTCCTTATGATGTTTATGCTGGGTTGATGCAGCCATTTGATCGACCAATTTAGTCAGTTGATAAACTTTAATATTTAATTCTTTGACAGTTTGTTTAAGTTCAGCAATTTCCTTATCCTTAGCAGCAAGCTGTTGACTGACATCACTTGTGCTAGGGGTGTTGTTAGTTAGTGCTGCATCATAGGAAGTATCATTTTTGTGTGGTAAACTTTCAACTTTCCTCTTAGCTTCAGTATAACTAACTTCATGCTTTCTCATATAAGCTAATGTCTCAGTCTCCTTCTTCAGGATGCTGCACTCGGCAGATCCTGACTGATGGGGACCTTCACAGTTAGCACATTTGGAAATCTGGCTAGTACATGTGATGGTGTCATGGGTTTCAGCACATTTACGGCAAGTAAATTTAGTAGAGTCTTTATCAATACATCTTAATGAGGTGTGTCCGAATTTTTGGCATCTATTACAATGCATTGGCTTTTGGACATAAGGTCTTACTTGAACACGCTCATAACCGACATTGACATATTCAGGGATTTTATTCAGGGCAAAGGTTCAAAAAACACAGTCCAGTTATCGTATATTCCCGTCCTTCTTGGTCATACAATGAACGTCCACTACGTCTTGGTCCCTCATGCTCTCAGGAATTTCACTTTCTTCTATCGTCCTCAAATCCCTGTGAAAGATTACTCCCTTACAGGTATTTGGGTCAATAGGAATAGTTACTTTAACTCGAAGATCATGAATTTGCGTCAGCTTAAGTAAATCCTTAATCTGGGAGTTGTATTGTACTTTAACAAGGAGGCTTCCATCTCGCAAAATCGCCGTCCACTTGACCATCAAGGACCTTTTTGATGATAAAGGGGTTCACGTTCAAAAGCGATTGATTTTCGTTCACGCATTTTACAT